TAAGTTATGGATTCTTCCACAGACGGAAAAAAGGGGAGGAGCCTGAGCAACCACCGTTTACATAAAATAAGTGCCCTGCAGCTGTGCTCCACTTATCTTTTTAATTGCAGGCGAAAGCATTTTACTGATGATGCATTATGTTCACCTCTATGTCAAAATTTCCACCGTGACTCATAAAAAATATCACCTGCAATCATCGTCAAATGGATTTTTTTTTAGCCACCAAAGTTAAAATGTTCTGTTCTGTAGTTGAATTGATGCACATTAAAAACAGCGTACATCTAGACCTGTTTGCTTATGCCACTATGACGACCCAGTAAAAATGTTTTCAAGTGTATCCATGAGCCATGAAAGTGGTTCATGATCACTATCCTAAAACTGGAGGAGTTAAATGGAGTTCAACATCTCATCATTTTTTTTTCAACCTTTGGATGTTCCGTGTTCCTGCGTGGGTTTTTTCCTAGGTGCTCCAGTTTCCTTCCACAGTCCAAACACACAGTGAATGAACAAATGGATTAATTGTTGATTCTAAATTGGCCGTGGGAGGAGATGAGGAAAAGGATGTCTTACACTCCGTTAGTCCTATGATAGACTGGCAACTCATATATGGTGTATCTCGCCTTCGCTATCCTGGACCGTAAAGCTGTTAACAAAATAGAGTCTGAGATAGAGAACTGTGATATTTCTGTGCATTCGAAAGGCAAAGGTAATTTAATTAGTACTTAAAGTACTGTAGATTTGGTTGTCTTACTGTTGCGGTTTTGAAAATTCAGGCCTGAAATCTGGCACTTTAATTTTCCACCTGTCTGAATATAACTTCAATATTTCATGACTGATGATGTAGAGAGACAGGTGCTGATGCAGTCAGAACTAAAATAAATATGTTTTTAGGAGGTACATGACTTCCGTGTTCCATGCAAATGGTTTGCTCAAGCGTAATGTTTAGATGTTAAGAAATACCACAACGTTTGAGTGATTGTGAACAGTCTGTGATCTCTTGGGAGAGAGTAAATAACATGCACCACTGACGCTCCTGGAGAAGCGTGCTATTCTAAGAATCAGGATAAAGGAGGGGCTGTGGGCGCAGATCTGGGTTCAACCAGTCCAGCGACCATCGTCATGTCATCAAATGTTGTCACTTCAGCACCTCTAAGCAGCCCTGACTGTGCCTATGACGTAGGGTGAAGCAACATCGGGCTAATATATGATAACACAAGCTGACTGAATGATTTAGATAAATTTTTGAAAAATAACCAACACATCAGCAGCTAATGTTTACAATGATGGAGCCTCTGTCTATGGGGCTGTAGCTTTAGCAACTTAGTAACTTTGTAACAACTTATTAGATAGATAGCTAGAAAATGTAGCTAACGTCTGTAAGTACACCTCTGTAAGTATAAACTGGTATTTTTCTGCCACACCTTTAATCTCCTGTTAGCTGGAATCCTCTTTTGTAAAGCCACTTGTAAAGAAGTCCAGCCTACATCCGGCTGCTAGTGTTACAGATTGGTTTCTAATCTCCTGTTTCTTTATTGAAAAAACCAACAAACAACAACAACAACAAAACCCCCAAAAAACGAGGCAGTCCGGGAGAAGGTTACCTGGCCACTTTGCTTACAACAGCAAACATGATCAAAATCAGTCTAGTCTTTTTTTGGCTTGACAAGAAACCCCCCCCCCCAAAAAAAAAAAAAAAACAGCTTTGGTTCAAGTTATTAATGACTTTAGAATTAAACTGACGGGTGTAGTTCTTTTAGATTTGCTACATCAGATACTATCCACTACAATATTTGAATTAGAAGATTTGGGAGTTGGGTTGCCCATCTGGATCTTATTTTCTCCTTCTGACAGGTAACATTTGACAAGAATGCTTTGGAAACAGTTATTTTGGTAATTTGTTATTACAATCTGTTTTTGTTTTTAAAAATAGCATTCGAATATTTATTGCTGTTAGAATAACTGAATATGACTAACAGTCAAGTCAGACATCAGCTAAAGTAAAAAACGAACAAAGCTTTTATCGAGCATGTTGACAGTCAAGTCAACGCAAGCGTAGGTGGCTCGCTCGATTAGTAAAGTGCATCCATAATTCAAGGAAAAAAGAGATATTATTGAAGGATGTTAATTTTAGCTAACATAAAACAGGCTTAAAACAAAAAGTAATTACAGAGAAAACTGAATAACGGACTCCACAGAGGTTCTTTTAGTACAGCCGAATAGGATGAAACAGCACACACTTGTCACTCAGAGTCGTCAGGCCCTTAATTGTTGATGTAATTACTCCGTATTCACTCACTTTAGGAGACAGGCTCAAGTGGATATATAAGGAACTATAACTTTTGGTAGTTTCATTTTTGCCCCAGTAGATGGAGATGGATCAATCCAAGTATCAGTGGTATCAATATCAGCACTGGTATAGGTTTTAGATCGATACAAGTGCAGGATCGATACTGTGTTTCGATCTTCTAAGTTCAGTCTGTAACCCACTAAATTGTGTTAAATATATTATATTTGGGAAATGAAAAAAGCCACAAACATACACGTTGAACACTCTTGTGTGATGACTGTGATGTCTATTTTATTTATAGCTTTTAGCACATTTAAACAACACAAGATGACCCAAAGTACTTTAGAGACGTGAAACTTCCAGCCAATGAAAAGCTAAGGATGTTTATCAATAGGGGGTGGTTCACCTCCACTGCACTGAAAGGGAACTAATTTCAAAAAGAGGTCAACCTCCCATCAAACAGCTCCACCGTTAGTGTTATTTTATGTGATAAAGTTTAAATTGCACTGCTGTCGATTGTTTTCAGCAAAGTGCAAGAAAGTGAAAATAAAAGATCAAGCGTCGACAGGTTCGAGAAAATACAGTTTAGAGTACTCTATACAAAGCCATAATCCTTGTACTGTGTACTGCCTGACTCTTAAACTACACCTGACTTTGTATAAGTAAATGTAACTGATCCTCTTACAAATAATGCCCAGACTTGTATGAGCTTCACCTTTGTTTGCTCAAATACTGCTCCTTGAATTTAAGAGCTTTTCAAGCATATGTAATTGCTGGGCTTTCAGAAGGCTTCACTCATCTGCAGCAAAGGATGAAAAGGAACGAATTAGAGAAATAGCAATATACTTGTCTCATGACTTGAGTGCCTTTGCATCACCATGGAAACTGAGTTCTACCTGATAGTGAGACAATCAAATTAATCTTCTTGTGTTTTGCAAACCCAAAGAGTAATCTCACAGTTTCTAAAGGTCTGCTGGAGCTGACCGTAAGCACTGCTGCTAAAAGCAAATTTGTTTCACTGGCTTTTTCCTCCCTTTCATTCTGCAAGCAGCTGTGATCCGATATTATGCTGCCCACCACATGAGTTTGCAGACAACAGGGTGCAAAGAACGTGCACATGAATGGTGGTTACTTCATTGAGTAGTTGGAGATGTCCAGCATGTCGCCTGCAGTTTTTTAATCTAACAATTTACTGTGACTGCTGCTCTCAGAAAGAGAAAAGATAGTCACTGAAAACCACTCTGTAGATGCCTGACAGTGACTTGAACCTGCAGCGGTAGGAACTGTTTGGTTTATAGCAGCAGCAACTTATATACTGCTACTAAAAATAGTATAGTAAGTTATTGCTGTTACTATGTTAAATTACTGTGACTAAAAAGTGCTTTAAATGCTTGATCTATCTATCTATCTATCTATCTATCTATCTATCTATCTATCTATCTATCTATCTATCTATCTATCTATCTATCTATCTATCTATCTATCTATCTATCTATCTATCTATCTATCTATCTATCTATCGCTTGATGATCATCATTCATGACTTTGTGGATTGCGGCGTGTTGCAAACACACACCTACACATGACATTTATAATTTTCTGTGTATCTGGACATTCAGCCTAAATGCCAGCAAGCTTCCCCTGACTGAGAACATACATTTGCATATAAATGTTCCTGATAATAACAGCGGGTAAATATAAAGCATTAACATTAAATAAAAAATTAAAACTTTTTTAAGTGAACAACACATTGTTCTTTGTACCTCTATTATAAAAACAAACACACACACGCACACAAAAACAACATCATTTGTGTGATTTTCGTGAGGTGAAGCCTGAACACCCCTCTGAAAGAGCAGTTTTAAGTTTTTTCCCACACACCAGCACCTAACTGGTTCACGAGAAGTGCATAAGGCAGTTTACATGCTTAAAGTTTGTTTGACACTAATCTGCGTTCATCAGAATTGTTGTTGGGTTTTTTTCCATGAAACCATTCCCTTTGACTCCGGCTCTTCCCTAAGCTACTCTCCCTCTGCCTCTGTGAGCCTTCCACAAAATCAGTCTGTAGATCCACAGCTGTGTTTGCATTTCCCAAAGTGTGCCATTGAAAAATTAGATGTAAATGAAAGCTATAGATTGTATTCACTGAGTACCTGATCAGACACACGCACGTGTTCACACACTCGCACTTATTGAAAAGTTCTACTGCCTGCTTTGCTGTCTCATTGATCTTAAGTAAGCCTTTTATCTCTTGCCTGTGTTCTCCCCTCTGAAACTAATCTGTGCTGCGTGTCTGCTCAGCATCAGCTCTTATTATTTTGACATATCTGCCCTGGGATTGAGAGTTTTTGTGAAGCATATTTACTTTTTTTTTATTATTTACGTAACTTCTCAGAATGTAACATTCCTCACTGACTGCTGATATTATGTTAATGGCTTTTTGTTATTTGTTGAGACTCATCTGATTCCAGTGGAAACTCCTGCTCTTGTGCTAAAAGTCGAAGGAAGAAAAGAAATTAAGATAAAAATCTTGAAAACAGAATGCTCTTTCTGTCTTTTCCCACCAAGCAGAGAAACCCGTAAGACAAAACAAACCTCTCGCATGCAGTCACACGATAGCAGAGCAAACACGTGCGTCGCAGCAGCAGATGTACACCCACAGTCGGAGTGTACGGTATGTCAAGTCAAATATGCTAATGCACCAGGGGGGTGTTTAGTTGCTTTATTCTCAAAAGGTTTACACATTGTTCATCACATTTACAGCATTTCACGTTTTTTTAAGCGTAGTATAATAAAAATGTTAAAAAAGTTCCAACCCTATATACAAGTCCCCCTAAATCCAGTGTCCAAGCAAGACTCAACATCATCCACTGCACATTAGCTTAGAGTACATATCACTACACATTTACTGTGAGCTGAATGTAATATGGAAATAAAAAATGATAACATAACATTATGACTTTTAACAGACAAGCAAATAATTCTATGCAGTATTTGAGTAAATGTGACTGTGGCGGTGTGACATACAAACCTTCCTTTTCACAGTCAGCATCAAACTGCCAGTAAAACAAGAGTGAAAATGAAGCTGGATTTTCTGCAATGTGGAGATTTTTCTGCCTGTGAATTCACCTGTTCATGTTTTCTGGAATAATTAGATACTTGTGATAAAAGTTATTCAGTCTGCTCCTGCCGAATGCTCAAGTGTACTGTGCCTCTGCTTCACATGACAAGGGAAAGAAAATGCTGTGCTGCCATCAAGTGGGGAGTTTTCAGCAATCAGTGCTGTGATTTTTTAAATGAAGACATTCAGCACTTCATTAGTCCAGATTTAAGCAAAACTGTGATTTTACAATCCTTCTCTCAAGATAAAGATTTGCTAAGAATTTCAAAAATTCTCTTTTTGAGCTTCCGGGGCACGACCACCTGCAACTTATAGCTGTTCACATTAAAAATGAGTCATATAAAATTCTGAAATGGACACTTTTGTTCCATTAACAATACATAATAAGATTCACTATGATGATTCCCACCATTATATACATCGACTGCACCAAATTTCCTGACCCTGAATTTGCTTTGTGAGATCCAGGAGTTTCCGGTTGACCGAGAGTCGTGGAGATGTCCTCTGGAGAACTTGTGGAAAACTCTGTAAAGACAAAAGGCTCTTAGAATGAATAAAAAGAAATCACAAATTTGTTACCACCTATTTAAAGTGAGCTCACCTTGGACTGTAACAGTAGAGTTATTTTCTCGTGTTCCCACTTTGGAGCGTAGCTTGCACATGTATGATCCCTGATCAGCTGGGCTTACGTTGATGAGTTTCAGGACGAGTGAAGTCCCATTTATTACTTCACATCTGTTCTCAAGCACAGTGTTTCCATAATCATATTGACACATAGATTGATTTTTACTAGGAAATAACCAGGACAAGTGCTTAATACTTGATGAATCTAAGTTGGTTTCACATGTCAGTGTCACATTTTGTCCAAGCTGTGCTGTGATGTTGGGCAAAGTCTTCAACTCTATTTTCTGGTTGGCTGAAATACCAAAGAGAGAGAGAGGACATAGTGTTATCAGTTGTTCAAGTTACATACTTGAACGTTTTTAGTCATGTTTTAGCCAGTGTGTGAATGTGTGTGTGAATGGGTGGATGACTGGATATGTAAAGCGCTTTGGGGTCCTTAGGACTAGCGCTATATAAATACAGGCCATTTACCATTTACCATGTTTTAGCTCAATATGCTAACAGGAGCAATGTTTTAATTAGTTAATAATTGTCATCCTTAAAAGAGTGCTTATTTATAATGAAAATATTTACTAGAAATAGTCTTCAGTGGGAATTCACTGTCTGGATTAGAGTTTAATTGGATTTCAGGAAAATGTATCGAAGTATTGCCTGGAAACAAGATTTAGGATTGTGACTTTGTAAATGCTAAATTTAAGCCACTTTCTTGTTTTAAGTTTGTACCAGGATAGCTAAGACCAGCAGGCTGTTAGCTTAGCTTAGCACAGATAAGGAACAGATACCTCTTTATTACATGTCCCTGTTAAAAGTAATAAAAACTATAAACTATAAAATAAGCAGCTGAAGGAATAGAGTTGTTGAATGGCTACTAAACACAACTGGATTTTCCTCGTTTTGATGCTAAGTTAATAAATCAGCTGCTGACTCTGAGTGCACAGGATGACAGAATGTGGGTTTTTTTCTGGTAATTTTAGTTTTATTTACTTTATTCTTTTGATTTTTGTTATTAATAGTTTTTAATTGTCTTTTAGCTGTTTACTGATTTTTGGTGATTTGTCATTCAGTAATTCTTTTTCTTTTCAGACACAGACTCTCCAAACATTTCCTTTGTGTATTAACTTATTTACTTGCGCTCATGTACTGCTAACAGGGACGTTGCTGAGTGCCCTCTGATGGACAAACATCAACACTCATAACATGGCTGAAGGGTGTTTCTCTCGTCTCATTCTCATTTTTTAAAATTTGAATTTATTAATTGTTAGTCGATAATGTGAAACAGATAATATCCACCCACTAAAAACTGTAAAAATAAATAAATAAAATGTCATGCTCTCGTTTTTGATTTTTTATCATTAAGCTGAGTTTTCATATTATTAATATTTTACATTATTTTGAATTGCTAATCTTGGAGTTATTTATATCTGGTTTCTTGTGTTTTTCTTGCATTTCAGTTTATAAGTCTAGTCTGCCCCTGGGTCTTCTCTGCTTGAGGTTTCTTATCTTTGTGTGTAATTCCCCTGGTATTTTCTGTTTTACTTTGTGCATTTGTGTATCTTACTTTTAATTTCACTTATGTTTTGTCTTTATGACTATATTGTGTCTAGTTTTCTTCCAGCTGTGTCCCCTTCCCCTGATTAGCCCTCATTGTGTTTAAATAGTCGTCTCTCTTCAGCCCTTGTCAGAGCATCAGCGTATCCATCCTTGCTTGATGTTTGTTTTGGCTCATTCTGGATTTCTGTTCTGGACTCCTGACAACCTGAATAGAGTTTTTCTTTGAATCCTGCATTCGAATCTTGTTCATCTGAAACCTAACATATTCATTATTGTCACTAAAAGGCACGATAGAGACTTTATGTTGATATTAGATCACAAAAATGTACTCGGCTGATGTCCCAGAGACACAATTTTACACTTAGTTTATTTATTTATTTATTTTTTGTTGTAATTGCAGAATATTACCATGTGTCAGACTAGCTTTGTTTAACTGTGTTTTATCGACATCAAGCTAAGCTTAGCTAACTACTGTCAGTTCTTGAGGCTCTGCAGAAAAGTTGCATTCACTTATACTTCCAAGGATGCTACACATAATGTTACGATCCAGATTTTACAGGACATCGTAAAAACTGTCAGCCGTCAAGTTAGTTGCTAATCTGCAGATGATGCTCTTCTTCTCCCAGACATGGTTATCAAAATGCCTCCATATGCCAGGAAAGTATTTTCCGCAATATCAACAGCATGAATGGGATTAGGTTGATCACACCTTTGATAAATACCGTCCTCAGTTATTGGGTCATTTTTATTGTATTCACTGGCAAGAAGACCAGTTTGGTATAATTTACCAGAAATACAGGAAACTGACTTAGAGACAAATATTATGGAGTAAAGTTTACTACCTCAGTTGGAGGTGGAAGGCTTTTATACTGTCTTTATACTGTTTCATGCATAATGGACCTTCCATGACCTTCCAAGCTATATAGTTTATGTCTTCCCTATTTCCAACTATATCCATAATCACATACTGTGTATGCTACCATTGTATATAGTGTATTATCTTACTTTTTTTCATTGATTGTACTTAATTGTATTTTTGTATTTCCTTCATATATCTGTACTTGAGCTGAGGTGACGCAAAAATTTCCCCGTTGTGGGATCAATAAAGTCTTATCTTATCTTAAAAAAAAAAGTTCCCGTGAGAACTTATTTTTAAGCACTGTTCAAAACTCAAAACAAAGACTTACCTTCTGCTGCAGCTAGCCAGAAAATAGAAACCAAGGCAGTAACATGTCTCCATTCAGTAAATAAGAAAGCCATCATTTTAACCTGCATGAAAATCAATGTTTTTTACATGAGAGGAATCAGATAAAAGCCAAGCACAGAGAGCTACTACATGGGCTAAAACAAGTCTATCTATACGTACCACCCTGCTGTCTTTGATCCACTGTAGATGTCTGTGGCGTTTAGTTTGACTCTGTTTTATGGTGTCAGAGCACACGGGCAGAATGAAGGAACACACAGTGCCTCATTCTCTGCTGTTAAGACACTTCAGCTTAGGGTATCATATTTACTCAGCAACATGAACAGACATGCCCTGCTCCAACAAACTGAGTTTTCTCTTCTTAAGAAAACAACCTAGGGGAACAAATTTAATACTAACTCTTACAGTTAGTTTATTTAGTTTTCAGTCATCTTTTTTGAACTGGTTGGCTTTACCCTTCTTTTGTGATTCATTGATTGATTGATTGATAATATATCAAATCCCCACCTAACTGAGCAAATGCAGGAGTGCTTATGTGTTTATGTGTCCAACCATCCATCCATCCATCCATACATCCATACATCCATTTGCTCTCACTTATGCTTATCAGCTTCCCAGCTACCATGGGGCAAAAGGTGGGGGACAGGTCACTCTGGACAGCTCACCAGCTGGACGCAGAGCTATATCATGTTTTCCCCTAAACGTATCATTGGCTAATGGTATTTTCTTAAACTCATGTGTTTACTCGCCTTATAACTTTAATTATTAATGTTTAATTTAAGTTTGAAGGATTTTGTAATGTCTGTATCGCTATGACCCATTTAAATGTAAACCGTTATTCTCTGGAAGAAGAGTGAAGAAATGTGCCGGAAAACAAATGCATTTCAGGCGATTTTCACCACAGCGCTGACAAAGACTCATCATGTCTTTTTTCCTCAACATGTGGCAAGTGTCTTTGTTTTATTTTGAGATCAGGGTTTGTATTTGTCTAAATCCTTTTGAGCTTTCATAACTTGAGCTGGAATCTTGGCCACGAGATTCTAGTGTCAGCCATCATGGATGAGATGAGCAAAGTGCTATATTAATACATTCCATCTATTTAAATTAAGGACACGCATACATTTTTTTTAATGAAGTGAAAACGAATGTTTTAAAAGTTCAGTAAACAGAACACTTTGAGACAGGAAAGCAAACATGAGGGGAAGTTTCAGCCTTGAGCATATTCATTAATAACACCTATAAACTAGGTTTTTTTTGTATAGTTTCTGTGGATGAAGGTGCATTTAACCCAAACCAAAGGCCTTCATATTGGGAATTGAGAGCAGGATGAAGATGGGAGTTTGAGATTTTGGATTTGTTGTGATTTTAAAGGGACCACAGAGTCAAGGCACAGAGACAACATAGAACCGTAGCGTGCCCTTCCACATTGTGCTCTGGAGGGTCAGAGGTCAAGCCAAGCCCAGTGACTTGCGAGAGACTTTATGTTCCTGTATGCGATGATACACCTGACACTGGGCGGGAGAACAGTAACAGAGAAAAAGATGGCATGATGATCAGAGACAGCGAGGTCAATATAGTGCAGGTCGGAAGGGGCTATATCCTTCCTGTGTGTGATCTTTGGGGTCTTAAACATGGTGACCAATGCTAAAGCAGTCTAAGAGTGACATTTCTGCAGCAAAGGGTAGTTGTGAGAGTCAGTATAGATGTGAAATATAAAATTCACAAGGAGTGTGGAGGGCGTCAGACATACAAAGGTAAGCATCTCAGGCAGCTTGGAGATGAAGACAGCTGGGGCTTTTGGGGGTGTTGCAGCAGAACGTCTTGCAGCTGCACAGACCCAGACAATGTAAAAGTGAGCTGACAGCAGAGACTCTGGAGTTATAATATAGAAAGGTTTTATTTTAATGGTTGTCATGCCAGTAAAGGAAGAACACTGGAAGCTAGTTAGCAAGCTAACCTGCTTACTAGAGCCTAACAAAGACAGGCTGTAGAAGGTGATGCAGAGTATCCAAAGGACTCACTTTTCATTTTTTCCACTTTGTTTCATGTTATAATAAAAAGGGTTAAGTTAAATATCATTTATCAGGCTTTTTTTTATTTAATACCAACCAAGTAGCAGCCTGTCTGATATTGTAATACCTTTACTCACTGATTCACAGCTACTTAATGAGCACTGGCATGTTTCAGCTCGCACTCACACCAAGGCAAAACGTATCCTCACCTGAATGAGTTTACCGATGTACTTAGAAAATCTAACTGAAAATTATAGCAAAGGCCTTAAAATTCCCTCTAATCATGGCAGCATACACCAAACATCCATAAACCAAAAGAGGAGAACAGTCAGTAACATGCATTATGCAATGGAGTTAATAGCAAATGCCAAAGAAGCAGCTTTTGTTGCAGATGCAGTGAACATGTTTGAGCAGAGAGAAGGAATTTTGGCTTTAAAGTTGTTTTTTGCCGAATCATGCCTTCATACAGTAAAGCACCATGCACCCAGTATTTTCGTCTCAATGTTTTTGACACCAAACTCAAGTGATGGCAAAAGAAAAACCACTGTTCAGAAAGTTCAGACCTGTTTGACTTGGGATTTTCCTCATGTTACAGTTTGAGACATGCTGTATCCTGAGGGCCAACTCCCCAACATAACTGCATTTATAAGTCAATCCCTCTCTGGAGTTGACAGTGATAGTGATCTGTAAATATCACTTTACTGCATGAATGCAGATGACCTATAGTCTCAGCACCTTTATGTATAAAGCACACCTATGCCCAGAATCAGTTCATGAAATATGAATGAAATAAATATGTTTGAAGTGTGTAAAATCTGAAACTAAGGTTTTCCAAAGTGCTCATGTATATGTTCTATGTAAGAAAACTATGAAAGCTGAGTGTAGCTCTTGAAGTAGCTGTAGCAAAACTCTGATGTGGGAGGAGTTCATGGAACAAGACTTTTAGCCAACCTTGGAGGGATTCTGGCTAACCGCCCGGTGACTCACAAGGGGAAATTGGTGCTTGACTCCCATCGTGTAATGTGGGAATATGGCACTGCTCACTTTAAGATATAGTAAGGCGTTCGGTCCCACTGACACACTGGACGGGAGGGGGTGTATTTGTTTGTATTTGTGTGTTTATAGCATGCCTGTGTTTTGTCATCCTGCTTCCTATTTTCACACACAGCATTGCTCCATTTCAAGCACCAACACCTGTCTGATCCCACACATTCCCTAATATTTTGCCTTCTGCCTGTCTGGGAACTGCTTTATCATTTATCACACTGTCAATCTGCAGGGCCTGCAAAACCCCTATACAGGAAGTCTGCCTCAGCTCTCTCATAAAAAATGTCCTAATCCCCAATCCTTTGGGTTTTACCCAATAGGTATGTGGTGGTCAGCTGGAGCCAATGTGGGTGAGGGGACTTGCCCAGTACTACCTACCTGGATGTTGTCCAGGTGTTTTTCCTGCTAATCTTGATAAGAAGAAACTGGAATGGTCTTCCAAGTCAAATTTGATTAGTCCCGCTTCTTGATCATGGGACTTGTTAACATGGCTTTGGTTGCCTGGACAGCAGGCTCCAAGGAACCAGTAATTTTAAAAACTTTTCATCCTGGATGACACCTAGAAAATCATCCTGATCAGGAGGTGCTGGGCCCGAACAGAGATAAAATATCTAATAATATGGTCTGTACTCCTTGAAATTTAAACATTTTAAGATACTAAATATGCAGTGGGTCTGGTAGACCCACTGCATATTAAGAGAGCTAATTAAGCATTCACATCTATGGTCAGTTTACAATCACTAATTAACCTGATGTGTTTGGAGGACATGTCTGGAGTAGCTGGAGTGAATCCATGCAGACACAGGAAGATTATGCAAACTCCAAAAAAGGCAAGGGACTGGATCTGAAACCAGGGCTGTAAAGATAACACAAAACGAGTTGTGATCAGAAGTATCTAAATTGAGTAATCAATTGAATGATATTGACTGGAATCTGTGAGCTGTATCGGTGCACAGCCAGTGCTGGGAGCCAGAATGCTGGCTGTGTTGTAGCAGATCAATTACTTATTTCGCTCAAAAACATGCAAATCAATTCAAAACTTTTATCTAATTTCTTTTGCTCCAGATTTTTTGTTGATATTCTTTCTCTCTGCATTAAAATGAAACTCCCATAAAAATGAGAGACTGTTCATTTCTTTGCAAGTGAGTGAACTTACAAATTCAGCAGGGGATCAAATAATTATTTCCTCCACTGTGTTTGTTGCATGCATATTTTATTTGCTATGACATACACAGTCATTCAGATCTTAATGTATCTGACTCTTGATGGAACTGTATAAATGACCATTAAGACTGGTGCTTTGCTTGTGCTCAACACTAGTATCAGTGCATCAAGCGCTATGTATCACTTACAATTTTTTATGGGAGTTATGATATTTATGTCTCTGTTGAGCAGGGGATCTATTTGTGAGTAGTAATTTGACCAAACCCCCACTAATGGAAATAAATCACTGGGTGCTAGAAATGAGGATGATAGTTTGGAAAGAAGTAATAAAAAATTTAAATGAAATAATGACTAAAGAAAGTGTCAAAAGACCGTGGCTCTGACATGAACTCAGAATCACTGGCAGTGAAACATGTTGAACACGTTTTCACAAGCCCGTAAGACTCTGTGTTGTTCACTTTCATTCAGATTAGCAATGTGCAGCTATGTATGTGAGCTTTTGAAAAATTGATATATGTGCAGTGTAACTGCTTTTAAAATATACTTTCATAGACCTTAAAAAACTATTTCAACCTATAACTTTATTTGGACATATATCTGTAAGAGCAAACATTTAAACCTTTCAAAAAGTGCAGATAAAGCTGACATACGAAAAGAAATAACGTGTGACATTTCATGACATTTAGATTTTTTTAGGTCTTGTCGTGATTTAGGTGAAAAAACCCACCCAGTCACATTAAAAAGGGAGTATATACCTACATTTTAAAAGCTTGTAGATAGACCTTTCTTAGAATCAAAGGTTCAAATTGACCTCCTTCACTAATGACACCCTGTAACATTCAGGGTCTCTTTTCCAACAACAGTTCAACATGCCGAGTCTCAATAAAGATGATTGGAATAAATAATTCTACCATAAGAAGAATAATCTACAAGTGGTGTAGATATTAGAATGTAGCAAATATATCCTAGAGTGGAGTGTTTGATACGAGAATCAGGTCTGATTGTTTTTAAATAGAACTTATCCTTTCACTT